TTATTCTTTCTCTCTTTATTTCCATTCTCTCATTATCTGCTCTCTCCTTTCTCTCTTTGTGCTTTTATTCTTTCTCTCTCTATTTCAAGTCTTTTCTTTCTCTCATTTTCTTCTCTTTCCTTTTCCTCTTTTAGATTTTCTTCCTCTCTTCTCTGCCTACGCTCTTCTCTCTCTAGTCCATGTTGTTGTTTAACAAACTCTCGTAGCTCGCCATCTTTGAGGCCAAGACGCTCACCTCTTTCTATCCATTTATCAAAATCTGATATAGTTATATAGCGTAATTGTAATATCTACGCTATTTTTACTACCACTACAGTTGTGCGTATAATGGCCTATTTATTTCCTCTGTCGTTCACTACTGTATAATCCTGGCTGGCTCGCCAAATATCAGGTTTTATATATGTGAGCTAGAATTCTTCTACAGTAGGCGTCTGTGACTTGTTGGCGATAAATGTCAACAATAAACGGAGAGCACACAATCCACTTGTTTTAAAATAATATATTCAGTACTAGTCAAACTAAACAATCATTAAATATTAAGTCACTAAATAATACCACTTACACTAAACAGACAAGGTGAGATGTGCCCGTATTGCGTTATTCCTGGATATCCTTCAGTAAATGCTATAGTTGTTGTAATTTTACGGTTACTACATCTGATTTTACTCGCTTCTCTTAATTCATGCTGTACCCTAAATGATAATGCAAAAAACATTTGAGCTCAGAAATATATCAAATAAACCACATTACATGGTAATTGCCGTGTTCATCTGAAACAAACAAATAAAAAGACTTAATCTGTTTTATTTATGACAATTACTATATCAATTAGTGTGTGTATTTATATGAGATGTGTACACCTACATACACATACGTTATATATATAAGTATCGAGCGAATGGGAGGTAGAGCGTTATTAACATATATATATATATTATAGCTAATGATATGTCCGATAGACTTTGCTTTTGGTAATACAAAACAAGCCCTATTTCTGTAGAAACATTATAAAAAGTTAAAACTCAGTCATAAGTAATTTTCTAAATCTAAGTCTTTGTTCGTGGAGTTTTTTCTTTCGCATATACATTATAACGCTTACATAGTTACACACACACAGTACAGTGTAGGCGTAGACTGATTTTGCGTTCATATGCCGTTTTGCTAACCCTAAATGTTTCTATGTAACTGGTGTATACAGAGTAAAGTTTGTATATTATAAACTTTGCATACTTTGTGCTTTTGTGTGTTAGACCTCCAAGTGAATTATATATATATACACACTGCATGTTTTTGTTACATATATTTGAAAATAATATGCTACAAGTAATAAGATCGATAAAGTGATCACTTTTTAGAGTATTTAGAAATTCTGATTAATGTATTTTACGGTCGTCAAAAAGGGACAAGAACACGCAATGCATGTTGGCGACAATGTCCATTGTAATATTGCTTTTGTAAAGGTTCAGTTTGATTTCGAAACATTTCTTTGGTTTAGGTATCCGTTCTAAACTACACAAAGGCTATCTACGCTAGTCATCCCTTATTTCGAACTGATAGGCAGCTATTCAACATCAGTCACTGTTTTTGGCTACTCTAATCGAAAGTGATATTTGACAGTCAAACTTATAATGCGTCTACGACCTTATAGTGCGGAGCGCATTTTTGCGGCAACGGGATACGATCCTAAGTTCGACACGCGAACCATAGACCACGTCCAGTTCTTGTTGAAACGTCATCGAAGAAACGATGGTTTGTTTTCGAATATTCACACAAACTTACATAAGGGCTATCTGCGCTAGCCGTCCCTGGTTTTGAACAGATAGGCTAGAGGGTAAGCAGCTAGTCAACAGCAGTACCCACCTCCAACTTTTGTCAGTTAAAGTGGGATTTGACAATCACCCTTATGACGCATCCACGACTCTATCGTGCGAAAGGATGATTTTCTTTTGTCATGGAACACGAACATTGGACCTCAGACCCATAGTCGGGCACGCTAATCATTGGGTCACACTTGGTCCAGAAATAATAATTAAATTTTTCTAGTGCAACAACGGATATTATTAACAACATATAAAAAAATCAACTTTTCAAGGGCTAGTTATTTTCTAAGGTTGCTGATACAAGTGAAGGAAAATAAAAACTAAAAATAATGATATTTATGAACAATATGCACATATCATGCATTTAGTTCTTAAAATATACTATTTGAACGCACAGAACAGAAAAACAGAAGCTGTTTAAGAAATAAATGAGGACCACACAAAATACTTTTTTCTGTTGCTCCATGAATATTTTTTAGAATTCATCTTAATAGGAAGAGACATTAATATTAAACTTAAGAACAACGTGACAAATATCTTATTGGCAATTAAAACTAATATCCAAATAAGCTTCAACAGGTGAATTAAGCCCATCAAAACCTTTCAGACAAATCATAATTCAAATAAGCGCTTCAACAGGTGAATTAAGTCCATCAAAACCTTTCAGACAAATCATAATTCAAATAAGCTTCAACAGGTGAATTAAGTCCATCAAAACCTTTCAGACAAATCATAATTCAAATAAGCTTCAACAGGTGAATTAAGCCCATCAAAACCTTTCAGACAAATCATGATTCAAATACGCTTTAGCAGGTGAATTAAGTCCATCAAAATCTTTCAGACAAATCATAATTCAAATAGCTTAAAGAGGTGAAAGTTTATTAGAACGTTTCAGACAGACTAAATTCCTCTAATTGAACAAAATATCGATCTGTATCTATACGTATTTTGTATAACTAACAATATACATACTTTATATATATATTTTTTTCTCCTGATTCGTTTCTTTACTAAGGTTCTCTGTGATGAATTTCGGGTTAGCGTGTATTTATTTATACAAGTACTGTGTAACCTTGAAGGTTGAGGCGTTATGTTTCATCTGTGCTTAATAGCCAAATTTTTCCTTTGCATTGTGATAGCCCCAGGACAATGATAAAAAGTTGTGATAAGCCTACTTGTTAACATACCTCGACTAGTAGACTAACCAGTGGAAATTTCCAGCGTAAATGCAACTTTTCTCGTACACTACATTTACTTTTGGTATTGGGAGTGTGTAAATTGTTTCCTAATAATCTGGAGGTTTTGATATTGAAGAGTTTGTTTAGTTAATATGGGTGTTGGTGTTGGAGGACGGTGGGACAGGGCCATCTCTGTATTTGCCACACCTATAATACATATAAAGTTGGATTTACCAAATTTGCCGGGAGCGACAGAAAGCCTAATCAACTGGGCAGTAGTTACGAACAAACCAAATTTGGTGATAAAGTGTGATTCTGCCTGAAGGTGTAGGCTTATGCCTTTGGCTTGTTTAAAATACACGTGGAATTATTACATGCGTTCTTTGTTTCTTTCCATCAGTCCTTTTTTCTCTCTCTCTCTCTTTTTAAATATGTATAATTTCCCTTAAATATCAGTCAAGAATAAAAGACTCATTCGAAACTCTTAACAACTCGAGAATAATCGATAAAGAAGAGAAACTATTGTGAAACAACTCGGGGTCGCTGATCTGTTATCATGTGTTTTGAAAAACTTTAATTATCAGACACTTTACAGGTAAAAAAATGCTTGTTTTTTATCTCTAGCCCGAAAAAGCTAAATAAAAAAATATTATGATAAATGAGTACAGATAATCCTGTTTAAAAATGGATTTAACTCATTTTATAGAATTGTTGAATTTTGCGCAAAGCTACTCTAAGGCTACCTGTCTTAGCCATCCATAATTTTGAAATGATAGGCTAGAGGGAAGGCAACTAGTCAACATCACTTGACGCCAGCTCTTGAGCAACTATTTACCAATGAATATTAGAATTGATCAGACATTATAACGCCCCCACAGCGGAAAGGGCGAGCATTTTCGGTGATGGGATTCGAACTTGCGACTGGCAAGTTGTGAGTCGAGTGCCTTAGCAACCGCTAGGCCAGTATTGGTTAGCAGTTGTTGTCTTTTCTTATCTCTCACGAAAAACAAGCGGAAGTTGTTAGGTCACGGGTCAAAGTAGGAAGTGGGTATAACTAAAAAAAACGGCTTTTCATATCAGCCTTGTGGTGGCTGTTGGAGTAGAAACTTCAGCTGAATTTATGTATTATTGCAATAGTGGCGGCCATTTTTTCATTGCATTCCTCCATAGAGACTGTTAGCGCACTATCTAAGATATATAAGACGTTTGTATGCCCTTCCCTCCACACTGTGTGTATGTTGTGTTATACAAAATTTAAAACAGTATTTTCGGTTTAAGAACTTGGCGCCATCAAAGAGTTTTACGTCAAAGATAATAAATGCTCAATAATAGCAATAATGGGTGGTGGAGGGGGTTCTGAACCCCAACTAACACGCCCCTTGTTCCAAACTATCATCCCACAAAGTTTGTTTGAGATTGGCCCATCGACCTAAGAGTAGTTATACAACGTACAAACAGACAGACACGCAGATTTTTGTGTTTTAGATATATATATATCATATATAGATAGATAGATAGATTTAGGATCTTAAAAACTTGAGAACGTGTATTTAATTTCTTGCTAATCATGGGTATTGAGCATGTAATCAAATCAATAAGGCGTCGCTTTAATGATTTGATGTTGGATTTTGAAAACTTAAGAATATGTGTTTATTTCCTAGTAATCATGGCCCTTGCAATTATATATAATCAAATCAATAAGATGTCGCTTTAACGAGTTGCCATAAGATTTTAAGCGGCTACCTTCTAAAAAGACGCAGTGATTTAAGCGAAACGTTATGAACATTTAAACATCTATTTGACATTAGACATTTTTTGTGGTACAAGTTTATCCACATTTTTGTTTATAGGCTATCTGAGTTGTGCTCACAGCAGGGATCGATCCCCGAATTTTAGTGTTAGAAGCCCCCTCTTCCCTAGCTTAGTATATGGTGCAAAAAAGTTAATATCAGAAGGAAAAAAAAACATAGAAGATTGATTTTATTCAATTTTGTTTCCATAGATGGTCACAAGAACAAAAAAGATTTTCGTCGGGGGTCTTTCAGCATCAACTACTCTGGAAGACGTAAAGAACTACTTTCAACAGTATGGATTGGTAAGTACAGTGTCTTATGTTTGTTAAAAATGTTAACTAATGGATATCATACCCGAACAGTGAATCCGAGGATTCATAGTTCGCAATATGCACTTTCGGGTCGTGTGTGTGCGCTATAAGAATGAAGGTTGTATCTCACTACTTGATCAGACTAGAGTAACCCAAGAGTTGGCAGTGAGTACTGTTGACTAGCTGTCTTCCTTCTACCTGTTCAAAATTAAGAACGGTTATGTGTATATAGTCCTTGAGTAGCTATGAGCGAAATTCTAAAACAAACTTTTTTTTTGCGAAATCCCCCCCCCCCCAAAGCAAGTAAGTAATGTTATCATCGATAAATTTGCTAATTGTGGTTAATGCTGGGGTGAGGGGTGAAAAGGGGAGATGTTGTTTATGGGATATAACTTTAAACCTTAAGTAATATAAAAGCAGAGGGTTATTGTCATTATTGTTTTTACATCATACATGCTGTATTTGTAATAACTCTGACGTAGAACAGATGAACAGTAGGAAACTTGGAAGGCCGCAGCACAGTAGTAAACATTTTTTTTCTTCTGGATTTTGTTTGTAAAACCTTCGGATTTAACATTCTTTCGAACAGGTTTCCTGACATTTATGGATGTATGCTATCCGTGCCTCCAGCGTCACCAGATTTGAACCTTCACGTCTTTTTTCTCTGGGGTCATTCAAGAGTAACCCGCACACACTATGTATACACAAGAACTTAAAAATGCAAAAGCTCGGAATGTATATGGAATATCCCGGAATATAATTCACAGTGTTGTGCGCAATGATACATCACGTGATATAACAGTATGGAGAGCATATTGAACATGTCATTCACAGTCCATTGACATCCCAAGTGTTTTGTGCCAACATTGCCAAGTTTCTTGCCATTCGCGTATCATACATTAGTTATTATACATATAAAATGTAGGATGTATAAAAACATACTTTATCAATTATTACAAATACAAAATACAGGATGTACAAAAACACATCAGTTATTAGAAATATTTGTTTGTTATGGATTTCGCGCAAAGCTACACGAGGGCTATCTGCGCTAGCCGTCCCTAATTTAGCAGTGTAAGACTAGAGGGAAGGCATCTAATCATCACCATCCACCGCCAACTCTTGGGCTACTCTTTTACCAACGAATAGTGGGATTGACCACAACATTATAACGCCCCCCACAGCTGAAAGTGCGAGCATGTTTGGTGTGACGGGGATTCAAACCCGCGACACACAGATTGCGAGTCGAGCGCCTTAACCACCTGGCCATGCCGGGCCAACTAGAAATACAAAATATAGGATGTATAAATGCATACTTTAGTTATTACAAATACAAAATATTGGATGTATAAAAGCATACGTCAGTTATTACAAATACAAAATGTAGGATGTATAAAAGCATACGTCAGTTATTACAAATACAAAATATTGGATGTATAAAAGCATACGTCAGTTATTACAAATACAAAATGTAGGATGTATAAAAGCATACGTCAGTTATTACAAATACAAAATATTGGATGTATAAAAGCATACATCGGTTATGACAAATACAAAATATTGGATGTATAAAAGCATACATCAGTTATTACAAATACAAAATATTGGATGTATAAAAGCATACATCAGTTATTACAAATACAAAATATTGGATGTATAAAAGCATACATCAGTTATTACAAATACAAAATATTGGATGTATAAAAGCATACATCAGTTATGACAAATACAAAATATTAGATGTATAAAAGCATACGTCAGTTATTACGAATACAAAATATTAGATGTATAAAAGCATACGCCAGTTATTACAAATACAAAATGTAGGATGTATAAAAGCATCGCTCTGTAAGAGAAAACTAGTTTATAAGGATAAGCAACTACCAAACTATTTTAAGAAGGCCAATGAAAAGCTCTTTGTTGAAAACTAAACACTGAATGGTTTGGAATAGTTTCGCGGTATTTTTTGTTTGTTTTTATTTAGCGGAGAAGTAAGTGTATTGACCGCTTTACTGTAAAAAATTCCATGATCGAAAAACTAACACTAGTTCGTTTCAGCTGACTTGTTTTGAAATGTTTATTTCTCGAATCAGTGAGATACAATTTTCTTCCTAAGAGGGATCTGTTTACATCAGGGACATATCAAAAATACGCTTCTCTATTTACGCGGTATTTTTACATCAGGGACACTTGAAAAATACGCTTCTCTATTTACGCGGTATTTTTACATCAGGGACACTTGAAAAATACGCTTCTCTGTCTACATGGTATTTTTACATCAGGGACACTTGAAAATACGCTCCTCTATTTACACAGTTTTGTGGTATCAAGGATACTTAACAAAATGGCGCTCTGTTTATACTATTTTGTTATATCAAGGACACTTGAAAATTACGTCTCTATGTTGTACGTGGGTTTTGTTTCTTTGCACAGTAATAAACATGTTAAATGTAACAATGTTTTTTCAAATATTTTATTACTGTTAGGTGTTTCCAGGTGATTCAGTTGGAAGCTTGAGGCTTATAACGCTAAAGTCCGGGGTTCGATTCGCTGGAGTTTACACACACAGGGCAGACAGCCAATTATGTAGCAGCGTGTTTAACTTACTGTTCGACCCTTTGCTGTTCTGTTTAGTAATTTTAAAGAACAATAATAGTTCTTCATCTTATTTTTTCTTTATTTTTCAGAATACTGTTTTCTCTGCAATTTTCAGATTTTATTTTTCACTTGTTCACAGAATTGATTGAAAATATTCGCGACTTGACCTATCTCCAAATTGACGAATTTTGTTTGAAACTTGTGGGTAGGGCTGGCGAAAACAACAACAATAATTTTTTTTTAGGAAATTAGCGACAAACTATTAGGTGTGTTTTAAACGTAAAATAGACAAAGTACCGATAAAATGTATAATGACTCGTATTCCCTCAAGTTAATGGTAAAACAGAAACACCCATTTTCATTAAAATCCTTCGGTCCAGTGGAAAGTTATGGACAGAAGTGGTTTGTAGAGATGTTAAGAGTGCATTAAACAAGTTCGAACTTTAGCTTAGCTGTGTACACATCATATTATGCAAGCTCTCTGAATTACTAATTATAAATTCACAGGAAGCGTTGGGTAGTATTTAACACGATTTGCAAACAGCGACGTCCTTAATCTGACTGCGGTTGCACCTGTCCAGTTCGTTCCGATATATTTTTGTAACCATTACCTTAGCAAGAAAGGTGTAATAAGGTAACCTTGTATATTAAGAACGCTAGTTATCTACTTAACCTGTTCCCCTGGTTACGAAACACGTAACTGAAGTGGCTCTCTGATCATGTTTTTATGTATCAACCAGTGACTCATCAGAAGAACGAGATTTGTACAATCATGCAAGCTAACAAACACGATATGAAGAGGCAGTTATAACTGACCGATGTTGTTTCAGTTCGTAGAGTGCGTTTAACGTGGAAAAACAAACAGTGACTGTGAAAATTTTTAGCCTTTGCATAAAAACAAAAATGATAGTTACATAAAACTATGAGTCAGGAGAATTCAAACGTACAGAATGATGCAAAATAAATATTAGTAGTGCTTTATACAGTGGAATGAAGGGCTGACTATAGCCAGAGCGCAGTTGTGAGAGAGTTCTTTGTAGTTTAATGAGTTGTTCCAAGTATTGATGATTTTAGTATCTTCATCCCTATCTAACTCGGATTTTATAGTTTAAATTCAGATGGCTTTTTTTTATGTCTTTTCTTTCCATGTTGAGCTGAATTTACAGAGGAGTATGGGGTGGTCGGAGGATAGCGTATATTCGGTAATTACATTCGTGACGGGCGTGGCCTGATGATTAGTGAACTGGACTGTGAATCTGGGGGTTTTATTGTTAGCGTCCCATTGCTGCAAAATTACACTCCACACTTTGGGGCCGTTGGTGAGTTATAAAATTGACAGTCAAATTCCACTGATTGATTAGAATAGTACAACTGTTGGCGGTGGGTGCTTTTAAGTAGCTTTCTTCTTTCTAGTTTATCATTTTAAAACTAGAGACGGCTAGCTTGTGTATCTTTGAGCGAATATCCGAAACAACCAACATGGCCTCCTCACGTAGCATCTTGTAACTCGCCAACATCGAAAAAAAACAAAACATGTAAGATCAAATTAGTATAACTGGAAATAAAATAAAAATAAATTAGCTTTTAAGTTTCAAAGTCATATTTTGCATCCAGTAATAAACCATGTATAGAGGACGTTAAATAGCTTACTTTAATAAAATCTTTTTTTTCTCTCTTGTGTGTTTGGCTGAAAACAATGTGTAATAATAGAATTTTGGATATTTTTTTCATTATTCTTCCATTTCATGCATAATACAAAAATTTTCGTAACGACACTTTAGTTAAATACAGAATAGCTGTTATCCAAGAAATTTTTCTTATATGAAACACAGTATCAAACATAGGAAAGAAGAAAACCAACCTTAATACCTTTAAGAAATAGTATACACTAAAACCGGGCGTTTTCTGTTAAGCTGTAAGCTTCAGGCGTGTTATTATATCGCTACAAACTTTTTTAATGTACTAATGTGATTAAAATAGAATTTCTACTAACAAATCGCTTAGACTTGATTTGCCAGCAATGCGAATATATAAATATTTAGCTTATTCCACGTGAGCAAACGAGAGGAAGATTCCCGGGGAGAAAAAAGGGGGATCAACATCCAAGTAAGACTACTTCTTTTGGTATGAAATAAAAATAAACTGTTACCTCTTCTTTCCTCGATTCCCAACAGCTGGTTATTGGATTCAGTCAATATGTTTCTACGGCGTTAGGTAGAGAAATACACATAAACGATATTTAAGCAAATACAAAAAAAAAACTGAATAGGCCTTAGGTGAGTGAATGTAATATGAATTTGTAATGGTTGGGAAGTTAGTTTTCAAACACAGTCTAATTTTCACATATAGATCGTTGTAAATACCCATATAGCTTATTAAAGTTGGTGCATGAAACAGAAAAGATGGCAGAACTTTACACTTTTTTCCATAAAATTTCAAATTGGCTTCAGTTCATTTAAACGTTTGAAGTTAGTTTAAATATTGTATTAAGTGGATAAGTGAAGTCTTCCACGAACAGTTGAGTGCCAACCGAAATTTAACTCTTTTTCCTCGCCCCAAAAGAACACCTTTTTAGAAAAACAAACACATAGTGAAAACACCTTGCTGTTAAGGTATTATTATTCAACATGTAAAATTAAGTTGGCGAAGCAAGAAAGCTCATTAGGCTTAACAAGTGTAACTGCATGTACGTTTTTTTCTCACAATCTTATTAATTTGCTAATCACTAATTTCACTGATCGTAACAAATATGACTAAAACCACTATTCAATGCAGATACTCTCTTTTCTCACAGTCTTACGAATTAGTTCATTACCGATTTCATTAGGCCTAACAAATAGGACTGAACTCACGTTTCACTGCAGATAACTTTTTACTTACAATCTTATTACTTAGTTCATTACTGATTTCATTAGGCCTACCAAATAGGACTGAACTCACGTTTCACTGCAGATAACTTTTTACTTACAATCTTATTACTTAGTTCATTACTGATTTCATTAGACCTAACAAATGTGACTGAACTCACGTTTCACTGCAGATAACTTTTTACTTACAATCCTATTACTTAGTTCATTACTAATTTCTTTAGGCCTAACAAATGTGACTGAACTTACATATCGCTGCAGATACCTATTTTTCTCACATTGTTATTAATTAGTTCATAACTGATTTCATTAGACCTGACAAACGTAATTGAGATCACATTAAACTCCAAAGATCTTGTTTTTTTTCTTTATACAATGTAATTAATTTTTCATTAATCGTTTCATTAGGCCTAAAAAATGTGACTAAAATTACGTTGCATGCAGTTTTATTCAATATTCATTTGTCATCATCAGTTCTCAGGAGACATTTTGTTCAAATAATAATAAATTTTGTTCAGCAAGAGAACTGGGCTTAACTAAACAAAGAGTAAGACACCCAACACTTTATATGAAATTTTTTGTATGGTTGTGATAAATGTATGTATGTGTACAGTTATTAGTAATGCTTGCAACATATGAAGTAGAAAAAAAATGTATACTCACTTTTAAACTGACCTTTTGGCTTCCAAAGTCACATTTATGCTTACTTACTAATCACTAGATGATTGCAAAAGAGGTACACATATTTCCAATTTTATTTTGCAATAGTTATTCTCTAATATTAGTAAAACAGCGACCTCTGTATAAAAACAACTATACTTTAATATGGAATAGAAAGAATGTTATAAATAGCATTTTAAATTTAGCTTGTTTGGGATTTAATTCTTGTATTAATTTAAAGTAGCTGATATGCTAATTTTTGAATGACTTCTCCAGAATAAGTGCATTTCGAAAGGGACATTTTGCAAGTCAGTCTCTAAACAAAAATATTCATCGATAAAAAAAAGCTGGTGCAACAGATCTGTTTCAAATCCCGCATTAAAACAAATTGCATAATATTTTCATAACATATTATTTCTATGTACGTGCTAGCACTCACATCACTAAAAGCTTCATAAAACATCAACTCTTCTGAAATCTTTACAAGTAAACAAAAAAACTTTTCAAAAAAAAGAAAAAAGAAAGTAAATGTGAATGGCTAATATCAATCCTTCAGAAAGAATGCAAACAAGAAAGTAGGGGTGGTATTTGCATCATCCCTATATAATAGCACAGATGCACAGTGTAGTGGAATGTTAACAGACAAAAATAGGATAAATTAAACTAAATTGTGATTGAATAGTAAAATATATTGTTATATGTTAATTCCTGCCTGTGCTATTACGTAATGATGATGCAAATGTCATCCCCACTATAATGTTTGCATTTTTTTGAAGGATTGATATTAGCCGTCCCTACATTTACTTCCTTTTTGGAACAGTTTTTTTTCCTTGTTTGCTCATTCTTTTAATGCAATGTTTCAATAGGCATAGGAAGGTTGTACTTATAGATAAATTATAAATACAATGAGGTTCCACCTGTGATATTTATTGTTTATCTATTAACGGCTGTAATTCCTGTTTCACCCTGTACTTAAGCTTTTTAAAGGAACGCCAAAAATTTCTGTAAGAAAACTAACTTCAAGAAGTAATGATAACATCGTTTATACTAGAATTATGTTTTTTAATTACTTCAAGTTAATAACATTTATGAAAGCGGATACTCTGTTTGAAAGTATTTCACTTCAATGAAATTGGTTGACACCATTGTTTTAGTTTTTGAATAAAAAAGAAGCAGAAGAAAGAAGAACAAGAAACTTACTGCTATAATATTTACAGACATTCCCAGAACTTGTGACTTAGTCATTACATAGATATTGTTATAAAAGGAAATACTGTATAGTATTGTAAAGTTTTGATGACCTTTTGATGAGATATTTAAAATACCATTTCGATGAATAATACGAGCCATCTCTACATAGGCAGTGCTACCGTCTTCCTAATAACAGAATAGATAAAAATTTTGTCTTGTCAAATTGAGTTTTAAAGTAACTGAACCAGCCTGTGTGGACTTTGACAAAAAAGAGACAATTATTTAAAGCTCTGGATACAACTGTGGTAACTAACAGTTAGAGTGGTGATTTTAAAGTGAAGTTATCACATACTGTATTGTAATAACAGAACAGGAAGAACTAATCCGTCTTGCCAAATTATGTTCTAAAGTAACTGAACCAGTCTATATGGACTCTGACGAGAAAAAGACAATTATTTAAAGCTCTAGATACAATTATGATAACCAATAGTGTAACAAACATTTATATATATCTTTTGATTTGTTTTAATATATTAATTAAAACAAATGGACTACGTGCTTCTTGTTTATTGTCGACATTTATTGCCAACAAATCACAGGCACCTAATGCAATGAATCCAACCCATACATAAAACGTGACAGTGGCGACCCAACCAGAATCTACAGTGGTAGAAATGAATATAAACAGCATCAGTAAAAAAGGCCTATATATACACAGCTGTTGTAGTGGCGAAAATATTGTAGAGATCAAAAATACACTATATAACCATGTCCAGTGTCTTTGATTAGTGGACAGAGAGGGGCGAGTGACTAGAGCGATCTATGAGAGTTTGTTAAATAACAACATGTCCTAGAGAGAGAGAAGCATAAACAGAAGAGAGGAGAGGAACGGAAGAAAGCATAAGAGCACAAATTTAGAAAGAAGAAAAGGAGAGACTGGAAATAGAGAAAATAACAGCACAAACTGAGAAAGAAGAAAAGGAGAGAGAGGATAGTCTGGAAATAGAAAGAATATTGAGATCTCCTAGCTCACCCAACAGAAACATGGAGGACCCAAGAATGACAATGGAGTCAGAGCCAGCCAACCCAACTTACCCAAATTTGATGAACAGAAAAACGGCATGGATACTTTCCTGGTGCAGTATGAAAGATTTGCCCAAAGTCAGAAGTGGGACAAAGGCGACTGGGCAATCTGTCTCAGCCCCCTTCTCACAGAAAAAGGCCTACAAGTGTATGCAGGTATTGTGTTAAAAGATACCATGGACTATGACAAGTTAAAAATGGCCTTGCTGAAACGCTATGAACTTACCAAGGAAGAGTTTCTCTGGAAGTTGAGAGAAATCAAACTTGACAATGGAGAAACTGTATTTAAGTTTTTGGCACGTCTACGACGATACTGCACCAGGTGGGTTGACATGGCCAAGTATGTAGATAGTCTTGAAGGACTGGCAGATCTACTAATACGTGAATAGTTCATGATCACGTGCTCCACCGACACATCATTGTTCCTAAAGAAGAGGGAGCACTGAAGCACATGGACGAGATGAACCAGCTGGCAGAACAGTATATGGAAGCCCATGGAGAGAGTATAACTGGTTAATTCAAGAATAACCGGTCAAAGTCGAAACCAGGGGTAGTGGATTAGAAGCAGGATGCCACCAAAGGTGACAACAAGACAAAAGACGAAATGGAGAAGAGATGTTATGCTTGTTATAAAATGGGGCACATTGGGAGTGATTGCAAGTCATTTACCAACAAGCAACTGCAGAAATTTCAATTTAAAGTAGCTGTAGCTACCTATAAAGCTGGTGCTGGCAGGAAGCAATTAAAGAGTAACTGCCACAATGGATGCTGCTGACAGAAGAAACAGATTTAAGACAAGTCATCATATCTGCCACAAGAAGGAAGTGCTATCACCATGATTAAACAGTGCATAATTGATGGTGAGATCAAGTTAGCAAACGGGTCAACAGTGCCAGTAGTGATTGGAGCATGTGACAAATATTGAGAAGTGCCAATAAATCACAACATGCTAACAGGTGAAGGCTATGCCAGGGACAAGTAAGTGACAGTCCTACGAGACACTGGGTGCAGCAGTGAGAACCAGATGATGGACAAAGCACGTTTGTGTGTGTTGATTGATGTGACAGTAAGAAAGTTTCCCATAACAAGAATAAAGGTAGCTACCTCCTACTACATGGGAGACCTTAAGGCCATATATATGAAGGCACACACACTTACCACTTGGTGATTGGCCATATACCAGGAAGTAGAAGTTTGGAGAAACCAAACAGAAAGGAGAGTTATGAAGCATCTGGAGTCACCACAAGAGCTCAAGAAAAGCAAGACATCAAGTCTCGAAAGGTGACACCTCATGACGTTTTCTTTTGTCCCTGAGTGAGCCTGTGTTTCTTTGTTTTTAAGCACAAAGCAACTCAATGGACTACATACGATCTGCCTAATGTGGGTATCGAACCCCGTATTTTAACATTGTAAGCTATAAGCCTCCAGGGGACCCCAGTGGGTTAGCAATTAGTTTACGGATTTACAAAGTTAGCCTATTGTGCAGCTTAGCTCTAAAACGAACCAACATTCTGTTTTTTTTCCTTTTTGCTGACACTCCAGCAAAGATAAACAGAGAGGGCTTTATAAGTATTAAAATTTTCAGATATTTACAATTAAAGGCTTTTTATTGATGAACTGTGTCTTAAACTTTCAGATATGATTCTTCAAAGTTATATATATATATATAACATATACGTGTATTTATGTTCC